TGGGGCAGCAGGCGGACGAGAAACCTCATTAGATTTGTTAATTTAAATGCAATTGCCAGAGGCAGTTGCACCTTGAGCCGAGTGGCCTTTGCCTTCCATAAATAAATCAAATTAATGTCAATTGCACGAACAAACGGAGGACAAACGGAGGACAAACGGAGAAATAGAGAAACGTGCCGGACAAATGTGTCCAAATATTCGGCAAAGACGCCATCGCAATCCGGCCCAAAGACTCAATTTAATGAAACAAAAATCATTAAGCCACTTAGCAGAGATGTAAGGAGGCCGAAAACGATTACAGGTCTGGGAATACTTTGCTCTGATTTGCTCGTGTCGGCTCCTTTGTCCGACTCCGCCTGACACCCCACCTGGTCGGGGCATCTAGCTGTGTTGGTTGGTTGCAGATCCAGGTGGCTGTCAACAAAGACCAGTGATTTCTCTCTGGCCGAGGCAATCACAGATTCTGACACGGCAATTAGACTGCCACCCGAAAGGGGTGGCCACTGGCCAGTGGAGGGGCCTGCCCAGCTGATGACCACTTCTGCCTATTAGTTATTGAAATCATCTGTCAGAAAGTTCCGAAAACATTTCACAAGTCCCCACTGACGGCCGGAGTGGCATAAATGCACAAAAACCCAAAACTGTACAAGCGGAGGCATTGAGGCTTTCGATCCCATTTTGCATTCTGCTGGAGGATATTCAATGGGTTTTTGGAAGTGCCAATGGGCCGAGGGGCCAGATCCCACGACAGGCACTCTCAAAAATTGGTTGACGTGACTGGGCTTCTAAGCACAGCAGGTTGAACCATCTAGGCCACAAAATCTAAATGAATTCTTTGTATTTCCGTAATTCTTAAGCCGTTTTAAGGCATTCATTTAAGGATTAGGGACAACACTGCGTATGAGTGATGCGCACTACGAGTGAACCGCACTAATTTGGCTTCAAAAGCTTAGAAACTCTTAAAGCCCAGACACTATGGTCCACCCCAGTAGCCACACAAGCGCATACGATACGGACACATATGCATGCAAAGGACACGGGTTCCTGGGGAACGGTTGATTTGATTGCCGAGCAAGGAGAAAGAAGGGCTGACTCGAAGCTGAAGGACCTCGGGCTCTGGCTGGAGCTCGGGCTCAGCTGCTCCTGAAAGTTTTCACAATGCAAGTTGGCTTCCCCCTGAAGTGTGAATTCATGTAGATGTGTGCGAGCCGGGTCCTGCGCAACATTTGTTTGTTCTGTTTATAATTCAATTGTAAATGCATTTCAATTACGTCCACATTAAACAGGGCCAGCACAGACAAAGTTTTCGGAGCTACGGACTTGGCTTGACCACTGGCCACGGAACAGGGAGCAGGGAGCAAGGAGCACGGGCACGGAGCACAGAGCCGTGACCAGGGCCAGGGCCATTACTGGCCTTTGCGGAGTCTGCAGCCAACTTAGCGAGCGGAACACGCTCCGCATTTAAGGACAATTGGCCCATTATGGCAACGCGTTGAAACGGCAAAACGAAAGTGGGCAAAAAAACAAAGAGTGTGCAGCGGGAGCGGAGAAAGGACGCATCCAGGATAACAATGCCATTAACAACTACTACGAATGGCTCTTAAAGGTGCAATGTGTGAACGAATGCCAGGAGTTGGCTCCCGGCAGGAAAATAAGAAACAAACGCAAGTTTTAAAAGCAACTCTGCACAAAGTAGTGATGAATGGAGCTGTGGATTTGTTTGAAGTAGTTTATGGCAATCATAAAGCATTGTTGTGAAGGAAATGCATTCGCATTTCCTATTAAGGACTCTGTTCCAGACTAGGCACGAGGAGAGTTACCTGAGAATACCTGTCAGAATGGCCAACATCCGTCTAACATATCAATAAATAGATATCCCAACTCTTAAATGTCATGTCGCATTCACTCCCAGTACTGGATGCTAGACAGTGCCGAGTTTAAGGTATCAAGTACCTCAATAAAATCTCTCTTCCGAGTCGGATCAAATGCATCTATGCCTCTCACACTTTAGCCCGGCCTAATGAATGCGAACCGAGCCAAAAAATCGCAATGGGCCTGGGCCCTGGACGACCAAGCCACCCCAGATCCGCAAGGAGCATTGAAAACCCACCCAGTCAGAGGTTAAATGACCTTTGGAGTGCACTTAACCAGGCGGCAGGACGCAGTCGAGCGTTTCCCTCCGTTCGAGGCTGTACTGGCATTCGGTGTGTGTGCGCCTGGGTTTTGTGTCGTGCAACCCTCGCAGGTTTTTGGGGCACGGCGCCCGCTCCTCCTCCTGCTCCTGCTCTGATGAGTCGCCCAAGTCCGAGTCCGACTGCGAATCGAAGCCCGAAACCGCCGCAGTCACAATTAGCCTCGAGTCGAGTCCTTCTGGCCCTGCGGCAGTCACTAAAGTGTAACCTGTGTTCCTGACCACACTCTCCACTCTCTGCCCTGCCCTGCCCTGTCCGGCCCAGCCTACAACATCGTCATCGTCTTTGGCAATTAAGCCTTGGCCGACCGTTGACCACGGCAAATGACCGCAGCCAGTTTGCTTTCATTAATTTTTGGTTGTAATCCTTGCTGAAGCTTTTCATTTCATTTTAGTTTTCGCCTCGCAGTTGTTGTTTCACTGGCTTTTCCGGACTCCTGCCCGTCATCCTTGTCGTGCGTGTGCATAGTTCGGAGCACACTTTTTCACACTTGGTTCCCACATAGTAAGAATGCCCTGGACCTGGGCGGGTTAATAGGTTTTGGGGTTTGGTTGCCCCAAATGGGGATAGTATCCTGATACATTTTAAACAAGTCCTTTATGGCCTTTCGATGTGTCTCTTTATTTCTCGGAGCCCCTTCCTGGCTTTAGGAATATAGCATCCTTTTGCCGCCCAAACTCTGTAATTGCAGTTCCCCTCCCCTGCTTTGCTTTGACCACTCAACCATAGGTGGCGCTTTGATGAACTCCCATCGCTCTCAATGAGGGAAGCCCATTGTTGCAGCCGTTTTTGCTTTCCAGCCGGCCTTTAGATCGAAAATGAAACAGTTTACAGGTCACTCCAGAGTCCGGAGATCCAGCAAAGGCCTCTTCTTTTTTCCATTCACTGGCGGGGAAGGGGCGTTGAGTTTTTTGCCACAGTGGTCGTGTTTTTACATCTGGGCCATGTCCAGGCCCAGTCAGCTTCGGTAGCCTCAGCGTTAATGACTTTTGTGCCGGATCCTTCTCCGGCTGTCCCTGTCGCCCGGCCAAATGTTTAAAACTGGCCAGCAGTTTTTGTTTCGGCCACTGCCACTCCGGCAGCTCCTGCTGTTATTGTGGGTTGTTGTTACTGGCGATTGCCGGGCGGTTAGTGCGCGCGTTTGCCACCGCCCGCAGTGTTTGCCAGGACAACCAGGACAACCGACTCATTTGTCCAGGTTTTTTACACACTCCGCCCCCCTAGCCGGCTGGCTTCTGGCGGGGGTTGGACGCGGGGAAAGGGAATTGTTAATTAAAGTATTGTCTCCTCGTTGCTGGCAAAATGAACAAGTAGAAACAAGGACCCTGGCCCCACAGGTCCTGCCTCGGATCTCGGAGCTGCTCCTGCTCGGCCGTCAATTGTCGAACATGGTACTCTACAGTTCCACTTAACAGCTACAATGGGCACTTTGCCACAATGAATTCAAATGGATGCCCGACGTTGGTTTTTTTTTTTTTTTAGCATCCGCCACACTGCACTGCAGCCCGCCCCCCTACACACACACACACTCTCTGTGGCGCCCAGAGTGCTACATGTGTTGTTATTGTTGTTTTTGCTGTGTCGCTGCACACACACGTGGACATGACGTGCACACAATGACAGCTGATTGTTGGCTTCCAAAAGCCCCCGGGCCACGGCAGTCGACTCGGCACAAACGGTGAAGCAGCCCGGGGTCGATGGGTCCAAAGGAGTGGGAGCTGGGGGCCGAGCAGGCGGGGAATCCCATAGACCAGGCTGTGATTCTTTAATGACTGCTTTAATTTTTCGGGTTTACCAATTAAAACTACATGGCGAATGAAAAATACATACGCCCTGGAGCAGGGGCTCCGAGCTGGGAGCCTGCATAATATGGTACAATGCTGACTGCTGGGAAAATGGGAAACTTCGTTGAGCTAGACGGATGTTTGGGAGGTTGCCGGGGCACCCACCTTGAGTGTAAATTGGTTGCCCAAAGATGCAATTGCGGGACTCGAGAGCGAGTGCAAATTACACAAGTGTAGTGGCCCGGGAATGTAATTCAGCTAAATGCAGGGAGCCAGACAGCTGGAGTACAGGCTGCCACAGAAGTTTGGCAACGTGGCCGGCCACCGAGGTGCTTCAGGAGCAGCGCCAAATTAATTCGTTAAAGGGGAATTAAATAAATGAAGCGCGGTCATTTCGAGAGAATATACGCTAGCCGAGTATTCGGGGCCAGTCCTTCAAGGAATACCCTTCTCTCATCCGCCAATCCCCATCCTCCACTCGGGCCGGATCCGAAGTGCGGCAACGCGGCTTCCACCCAACTGCCAGTGGTGCAATTTGCACCATTAACCCACCATCGCCAATGCTCCACTCCAGCCTCCGCGAGCAGCTGACCAAACATCCACCTGGCCGCAGCCCTCCGCGGCTCGGACTGCTCTGCCCACAGGCAAACATCCTTGCTTCCTTCCTGTCGTTTTGTTGCTGCTCGCCGGGGCGAGCTTTTCCCTTTTTTGTGTGTACTTCATTTAGCAGGCGAACCTTGCCCCGAGTGGGTAGCGAACAGGGGGGAGTAGGGAGTGCGGAGAGGGGGGATTTCCGGAGGGAAGGGTTCCTGGCCAGACAGTGCATCCGTGTACACGTCAGCAGCGACATTATTGCTGCTGTTTCTGGGTTGTTGCAACGCCATTATAACGCCATTCCGCCACTCTGCCCCACCATGGTGCAACGGGCACCGTTCGACAGCCCACCTTGACCCGACCACCTCTGGCAACTAATTTTTTACACATTTCTCATTTTCAACCCGCCATTATCCGCTCTTCCTTGCAGAACGACACGATGCGCCTGCTGTACATGTACCACGCCCACGATCCGCCGCACGGCTCGGTGCGCCCCGGCACGCTTCCGGACCCGGCCGGCGCCTTCCGCCCCTACCGGCCCATGGTCCTGATGCAGCGCGCCCAGATGCCCCTGCCCTCGCCCACGCACGACGAGCGCGTGCGGGTCCTGGAGCTGCGCAACGAGGATGTGGAGCTGCCGGCCGGCGACCTGCCGCTCTTCTGGTGCAAGATGTTCAAGCTGGAGGACATTAATCGCAAACACCACCTGATCCGGGTAAGCTACTTAGGCCATTTTGCCACTCTATCCTTTCCGATATCCTTCTTAAAACTAGTCAAATACATAATTCCAGTTAATCACTTTCTCTATTATTTAATGCAGATTCTTAAAGAAAGCTTAAGTGATTATAGCATACGGGCATGCAGCGGCCAGAGCATCGACATCGACATCGGCATTCGGCACTCGGCCAGGACTAAACGATATTAAATACAATGCATAATTAAGGCCAGGCGCAGTTCTTCAGAGAGTCGCGTCCGCGTCCTGGCATCCTTTTGTCTGCCAGTGGCTGTCGCTGGTGTCTCTGCTCTCGCTTTTGCATTCTGAATTGTGCATTCTGCATTCTGCACTGCCGTTGTCGTTGTCTCTTGGCCTCGGCATAACCAAATTGAAATATTAAAAATTTATCCCCGTCTCGCGCACCCCTCCACCTCCCCATCCCATCCCGTATAACCATACAACCATACAATGCACTCCTCACCAACTGTTCCCCGAACTCACCCTGTTCTGGTTCATTTTCTTTTCATGGCTGGCAGTACGAGCCGATTTATGATTCATCGTCCAGCGTGCACTACTTGCAGCACATAACGCTGCACGAGTGCCAGGGAGCGCACGCCGAGCTGGAGGAGATGGCACGCGAGCAGGGCCGCCAGTGCCTGGGCGCCCGGTCCATACCGCTGGCATGCAACGCCATCGTGGCCTCCTGGTCGCGGGGCAGCGAGGTAAGCATCCGAGAACGGAATCCCGATCCCCCACCGATTCCCCCTCCCAACCAGTCATAACCATAACCATGCAATATTAATTTATCGTTCGCAAATGCTTTCTTTTGGCCCGAAGAAAGGCATAAAGGCTGAGAAGTGGCCCGAAGAAGCAACTACCCTGATTGGGGCGCCATATATGCGGAAGATCCTAGCATACTTTCGGGCACTACTTCAATATTTTCCTATAATTTTATAGAAACTTAAAAATCACTCACACTGTTCTTTTTGATTAAAAATGTTATGCAAACTAATCATTTTTCAGGGCAGAGTCGAGTTTGTTTCTGATTGGTTAGCCCATGTGCCCGTTTTGGCCAGAGTATGCCGGAAAAATAAATACCTTGGCCCCATTGGCCCCTGAACTCTTGGCCGTGGCTCGTGTTTTTGTTTTCGGAGCAGCTCCTTCCAGCCCTGCCGTCCTGCTGTCCTCCAGTCCTGCGGAAAGACAGTCTCGGAGGGCAGGGAGAATTTTCATAATTTCATCAGATGAGCGCCATAATGCAGTAGCATGTTATTGCTGCTGCCCGCCAGGGGGCGCCCCGCAGTGCAATTGAATGCCAATGGACGAGAGGCAAGGACACGGCGCAAGGAGGAGGAGCAGGGGCCTCCGATGGCTGCATTTAAATTGCACATGACCCTGGCAGCGACTTTCGTTCCGTTCGGGCCAAGTCCCAACCCATACACATGCACTCAGGGGCGGCCATAAAAACAAACACTCGACACATTCCCGTCCCCCAGCCCATCTTTTGTTGCCAGACTTTTTTCGACGGCCGCCGTAATTTTGGTTTTGTCTCCGTTTTCACAGGGATTCACGTACCCCCACGAGGCCGGCTACCCGATCGAGTCGCGACAGGCCAAATATTATTTAATGGAGACCCATTACAACAATTTGAAGCCCGACTTTGCCCAGTTGCACGCCCGACAAATGGCGGATAATTCGGGTTTGAAAATCTACTTTACGCACGTCCTGCGACCCAACGATGCCGGCATATTGTCAATCGGTAAGTACATCCCTGGATAGCTACATACATCCGACATATGTGTAAGTATAACTGGGAGTTGGACTGAAAGTGGGAGTGGTCGTGGGCGTGGGGGAGCATCTGCTGCCCTTTTGTATATTTTATGCAATAGAGCGATGAGCAAGGACTTTCTATATGTACATGCACATACATATGCAACTCATGTCATGCAATTTATGAGATTGCCGAGTGGGTTGGATGGCGGGGCGCAGGGCTACCGACTGCCGACTGCCAGCTCCCTCCGCTCCAATGGCGCAATGATGCCATGGCAGGACTAACCACATCGGTGGGGCTAGTAAAACAAAAGCTTATGACTTTGCCCGGCTTGTCCGAATGCGGTTAGATGGCTGGCCCAAGTGGGTGTGGGCCACTGTGCGCCCGGATTGTCTGCAACAACAAACAGGGGATAAGGCGGGGCAGGAGCCGTCTGCAGTGGCTCCGGCAGTTACCTACCGCTGGCCCACCATGCCACACCAGTCATAGCGTCACAATTTTTAATATGGCTGTCAGTCGGGGGGAGAGGTGCCCTTTTCCACTGCCACCAATTGCTCACAAATAGATTTTAATTTTAAATTCGGCGAGCCCTGGACTCGGACAGGCACGCATCCAAATCAAACAATTGGAAATACTTGGCATGTGCCAGCAATCGGAACGGAGGCGGAAACTGAAACTTTCGGGCCAAGCAACTAAATAATGCAAGAGGTCGATGGTGCAGCTCCGAGGGTGGTTGCAAGACTTCTAAAGTAAACTTAACGAGGCTTTAAAGGTGAATTCTGTACAAGGCAGACACCCCGAAACTCGCCTTCAATTATCATACTTTGTGGCCTATTCACTCGGCTCACCGATTGCCAAAACAGCAATTCACAGGCACCTGGCCGGTCCCCCGCCCAGCTCCGGCCTGGCAAAGCGCTTTCTGAGTACTTGTCGGCCCCACTCCGGGGCTCCGCCCGTCCGGAACCAGCAACCACCAAGTGAGCCACCTGAAAATTCTTCAGATACTCATTTTTTGTTATTCATTTTGTGGGCCGTGAGCAGGCCCAGGATAACTAAAATACTAATTTCACTTTAGAATTTATTTCTACTTTGCCGTAGCTGTAGCTGTAGCTATTGCCCTGCTCGGCTGTTTGTTTTTGGCATTTCTGGGCGGATTTCTGGGGCTGGGGATGGAGATGGCGATGGACAGAGGCCACCCGCCCCAAACTGCTGTTGTTGCAATTGTTATTTCACTTTTGTTGAGAGTCACGCAAACCAATATAACTTTTCCCCAACCGCACAGAGGGACATGGCCGTGGCGCTAAATAAGACGGGAGGGGCCTGGTGGAACTTCGTCTACATTTTCCTTTTTTGGGAGTAGGTGTTGCCAAAACTTCCGGCGTAGAGCTGAGCAGGAGCATAGGAGAAACAGAACAGAACGAGAAGTGGATTAATACATCTTGATAGAAAAATACAATTTGGAAAAAGTCGAAACTGGGGAGAATGTTCGTATAATTCTCAGCGAGTCCTGAAGGGAGGCGCAGATCCGATTGGGTGGGCTTACGGAGCGTCAGCCGGTATTTGCCATTGAAATATTTAATTGGAATTTAACGCACACCACCAACCAGCACACACACACACACACACATACCCACTGAGTCAGACAGGGACACAAGTCAATAAATAAAAAATGAGGAAAATCATTGCGAAAAAAATAAAATGTTGGCTACAATTTTCTCGTGGCTTGCTATAAATTGAATTACGAGGGGGGATCGAGGGCGGAAGGAGGCCAAAGCTCCTGGGCTCCCCAAACGCATAAGTTGCTCCGCAGCACCCCGGCCCCCGTCTCACCCGTCTGTCTGAGCTTGTCGTGGCAACATTTAATTTCAATTTAATTGGTTATTGATATAGCGCCCTGGTGTATGCAACGAAGCTGTGATTAATGTTGCGGCTTGGCGAATTTTTATGGCACCTTGGAGATGGAGGTGGGCCGGGGCGAAGCAAATGAGGTCGGGACATGTTGAGCCCGCCAGGGGACTGTAGTCCGCGTGCATGGGATTCCCTCTCCAGCCCCTCTCGAAATAATCAAAGGCTCTGGCCAACAAACCGAAAACGAAACTAAAAGCGCCCCAAAATTGACAGTTTTGAATTGCGACCACAGGATTGCCGGCCAATAGCCAATGGCCAATGGCCAACTGCCATTCGATCAGAGTCTCAGTTAACAATTGGGCGACCTCAGTATGCAAATACACTCCAATATCTATTTCTAGTATGGACGCTAATCAAATCGTTTCGCCCGCCCGACGAGAGTCCTCTTTTTGGGGCATCGGGCATGCAGCGGGTCGGATGACGCTTTGACACAAATTGCCATTTAAAATAATTAGAAAAGTTGCAATCGGACGTTTTGCATTTTGCCATTGCCAGTGCCGTGTGCTAGCTGTCAGCATGCAACTGCCAACCCTAACCCCTAACCCCTAACCCCTGAGCCAGCGTTAAATATCGATTTGAAAAATATGTGTAGTTATGAATTGCAAACGGGCGGGCTGTCCTGCGTCTGTCCCCGCCGCGCTCGGGCCAAATCAAATAGGAATAGAGCCAATCACCCCCGTGACTCCATACCAGGGAATCTCGTCATGCTCCGCCTGGCCAATATTGAATTTTGATTTAATGAATGGAAATTCGGCGAACGCAATGAGAGAAATAGAGACACAAATGGAAATGGAAATGAAACGAATCCGAACGAATTCGGAACTGTGATGGTCTGATGGCCGGCTCTGATAATATTCAAATGGACTTGATCGAATCGAAATTTAATAGAAATCAATTAAAGGATACCCACGAACTTTGGCCCGTCCCGTCAAACTTTCTGTCCACGAAGATGGCCAAACTTTGGTCTTGAATGAAAGTTCAACGCTGCGACTCGCATGAATTGTAATTTTCAATTAAATTGATGATGGGGAGTTTTGGTATCATAAAGTCCAGGCCCTCCAGCGCCCTCCTCCGCCAGCTGGTTGATTGATTTCGTTCGCGTGACATTCTATAAAATGACCAAAATTCAGATCCGAAAGCACTGGGCGGTGGGAGCGGCTATGTGGAAACTTTTTAAAGCCAACATGGCTTAGTTAAACAATTTTTTGGTAATTGAAAATTGATTCCCATCTACACGACAAAGCCAAAAACCCATTCAGGAGCGCGTATGAAAATTAATAGGAATAATCCTGGCAACAAATATGCAAAGCGAATTTACATATATTGCTCGATACACGGTTGCAGCCATAGTTTCTCTTCGCAGGCGGGGAATTCAATTCATTACGCAATACTTTTCCAGTCGAGATTGCTGAATTGCGGCCCGAGAATGGATATTTTATGCAAACGATTTTAAAGTTAATATTTTTACGAAGGTTCAATGGGATTACTGGGGATAAGCCCGATCGGGGTAGAAAAAATCCCTTAATGTAGGTCACGGCAATGAATCCGGTTATAAAAACTTGGCCCGTAGGTCCAAAGGGCAAACAAACAAAGAGCTTAATGCCATCGCCAGCTAATGTTTAATTGGAATGTAAAAAATTAAACAGGGCTTTAACTTGAACACACTCCGGGCCTATTAGACATATTTTTCAAGCAGAACTGCTCAGTAAATCATTTAATTAAGCTTCCGGGGGAAAAGGATTTAAATTACATTCAATCCGCGATTTAAGCCAAAGTGGCTATAAAAAGTTGAAATCAATTCTGCCTGAGCCATCCTGGCCAAGTATTTCCCGCGGGTATTTTGATTGGCATTCTGTAGCCCCCGCCCTCGCCACCGCCCCCGCACGCACAACAATCGCAATGCCCCACCGCGGAGGAGCGGCGAGGCAGCCAAGCAGCCGACAAATTTGTATGTGGCACATGAATTTCAAATATTTTTTCAACATGGCAGGCGACACGCGGCCCTAATTGAGTGTGGGGCACAACATGCGGGGCGGCAGCACACACTGCGTATGAGCAATATTCCACAACATTTAACTAATTGAGCCAGCGAGTAGCTAACAAAGCAGAGTGGCCAAAAAATCAAAAAATTCAAAATTTGATTAGCGAACAATTTCTTGAAAAGAAGCAGCTTCCCTAATTGATGTGTGTGGGTGTGGGGCAAGTGGGGCACGTTCTCGGTCATGGTGGCAGCTCTCGGCTGCATTGACAAAGTTGGGGAAACATCAAAAGCAGCAATTAAAACGTAATTACACTTTCTGCGACAAATCGAATTAAAAAATCAACGTTCAAAGTTAAATAGAGTGGCGAGTGCACGGGGCGCTGATGAGCGATGATAACGAGGTTGGGGTTTCCACATTCCGCGAACGGCAGATGGGTGGGGCGGGAGTGACTGCCGTTTACCACGACAGCTTTTAGCCAAGCTCCCATCGAACCGTTAATTAAAAGCGTTGAAACCTCTCTGATACTGAACTTTGCTCGCTGCAGGAATGGACCCCAACTGGCGCCACATCATCCCGCCGGGCCAGAAGCGCGTCGTGTCGGAGGGCCAGTGCATCGAGGACTGCACCGGCTACGCCTTCCCCCCGCAGGGCATCAACATATTCGCGGTGATGATGCGCACCCACCAGATCGGCAAGGAGGTTAAGCTGCGCCAGGTGAGTGTCCCACGTCCTTGATTGCAGTGCACCCTAACATATATTATACGAAATGCAAATGCTAATGAGCAAACTTCCAACTCCCCCTTTCCCAGATACGACAAACCGAGGAGCTGGCGCCAATTGCACACGACAGCAATATAGATGTTGCCTATCAGGACTTTCGCCGGCTGCCACAATCGGTGCATTCCATGCCCGGGGATAGACTCATCGCCGAATGCATTTATGACAGTTCGTCACGAAAGGCAATTACCCTGGGTAAGTGCTAGGGGACCACGCTCCTCGTATACCTCTATATAAGCCCAAAGCGAAGAAGAAAGCGCACACCGACTCGCCAGGCCATAAAGATTGCAAAAACTCGAAAATAAAACCAAAGTAGTCACTAGTCAGTAGTCAGTTGTGAGTAGTGAGTAGTGAGTGGGAGTCCAAAACATTGTCGTGAACGAAAATGTTCTATAAAATTGCTGATGGCGCTGGGGCGTAAACCCGAGACTGAGCAGGTGGTGGGTTGGGGCTGGAATGGGCAGGGCTGGCTGGCTGGTTGTGTAAACAGGCAGTGGCAACGGTGAGCAATCGTCGTTATGACACATTTAAATCAGCCAAACGATATGCGACAGGAGACGGTTGTCGACGGAGACCGGAGCGGATCGTTGCACACGAAAGCCAAGACAAAGGCGGCGGCCATAAAGGCTGTAGGAGGGAACAATGGGGGCCAGGAGCAGGAGGAGCAGCAGGAGCATGAGTTGGAACAACGTCATTGTAAAATACATAAACCAAGACAGTGAAACATTTCACTTAGCACTGGGAGAAGATATCCGGCAGGTGTTAAAGCTGGTGCTGTGGCAGGTGTACTGGTCCTGTACTTGGTCCTGGTCCTGCCTGCCATCCTACTCCTCTTCCTCCTGCCGTTGTGACAGCTGCTCGGAGCTCCAGCGAAATGGACAACGCGGCACATCGGCGGGGTGCTGGGGGATGTTGTTGTTATTAATGAGATTGGAATAGTGGAAGATGGAAAAATGTGGAGCTGACACAACAGACAACGATAATGGAAGTTCTGATTTTGAAAGATACAGAAATGCATTGAGAGGCATTATGAAAACCAGATTAAATAGGACGACCGTCCTTTAATGAAAATTACTTAAAGATTGCTAGTCTGTTGAAGTTTTCCAAGATGAGTACCGGGTATCATATAGTTACATAGTCTAGTCTAGTCCAGTAACTCAATACCTTTTAATGAGAGTCTCGTAATAGATTACTTTAAAGATACAGTCATGATTCAAGAATATCAAATATGTAGTCTAGAAACCAGATATACATGGTCTATACCAGATAAGTATCTGTGTAGTCTACAGATGAAGTTCTTATGAGTACACAGAGTTTCGGGTATCAGAAATTATATAGTTGGGAAATTATATGTTAGGAATGCATATGCATATCAGACCACATGTCCTATAATGAAAATTAGTCAAAAATGACTAGCTGTGCAATCTCGAAATTAAGTTTTCCAAGATAAGTACTGGCTATCATATCGAGAACAAGATAGAATACGCATATAGTTAATACCATATTACTAAGCATGTGGTCTGCATATGAATACAGCTACTTACTGTATATACTTCAGTAATGCCCATAAACTAAAAGATGAGTCTAGTCAAGCCCTTTAATACAAATTTTAATGGATTTGTAGCTAGTAACTGCGCTTAAAGTTTCCATAGATGAGTACCGGGTATCAGATAATCAAGAAGCTCAAAGCCAGGATCCTTTTTCAAGTCGTGACTAACGTATGTTTCCAGAACACCCCCCATTAAGTAGATTTCAGGGAAGAGCGTAGTGTGGTAAAAAAAAAACAAGAAAGCAAAGCTAACTTCGGGCGGAGCCGAAGTTGATATACCCTTGCAGCTAAAACCGGATATATATCGCAAACATCATAATAAAACCAATTAATTACAATAAAAAATCTAAAAAAAGTCGCAAGCTTCTATCTTCAAAAATACGAAAGTTGATATTTCTACCAAATACCATTTCCGATCGTTTAGTTATATGTCAGCTATAAGATATAGTCAACCGATCGTTATGAAATTTGGTAGATCGGATTAACTGACCAAAAATAGAATGTGTACCAAGTTCCAGCTTTCTATCATCAAAAACACGAAAGTTGGGTCATTTCCGATCGTTCAGTTATATGGCAGCTATAGGATATAGTCGGCCGATCCTTACAAAATTTGGCATGTCATAATATTTTGCCAAAAATAGCTCTCATGTCAAATTTGAACTCTCTAACTCTAAAAACACCAAAGTTATACCATTTCCGATCAATCAGTTATATGGCAGCTATAGGATATAGTCGGCCGATCCGGGCCGTTCCGACTTATATACTGCGTGCAAAGGAAAGAAGGGTGTGTGCAAAGTTTCAAGACGATAGCTTTAAAACTGAGAGACTAGTTCGCGTAGAAACGGACAGACAGACAGACGGACAGACGGACAGACGGACAGACGGACAGACGGACATGCTCATATCAACTCAGGAGGTGATCCTGATCAAGAATATATACACTTTATAGGGTCGGAGATGTCTCCTTCACTGCGTTGCACACTTTTGACCAAAATTATAAAACCCTCTGCAAGGGTATAAAAACATAAAAAGCATATAACGAAAGTTTGACTTTCTTGCTTGCTTGCACAAATTCAAACAATCTACACAATTCAGCGGGCAAATGCGAATTGCAGATGGTACTGAAGTGTTTTGGTGGAAATCGGAGGCGGGGAGTGGGTAAGGAGGAGGATGGCTGACGGGTGACAACTCTCAATGGAGACACACCGAGTTGCAAATAGACAAACGTAACGATGTTTCGCCGAACTGAGCAGAAAAGAAAGGAACAGGATCCGCAGACAGGACGACAGGACAGAGAGGCAGTGAGGCGTGTGCACGGGAAATAAAGCCCGGCCCAAGTACAACTCAAATAAAGCAATTCCCGCCCAGGCAGCAAATGGGCGCTCCCGGCCCGTTCCGAGCCATCAGCATCGGCGTTGTCTCCGGTTTGCAATATTATTATGATGGCGCCTTGGCTGCTTTACTGCTCTGCCAACTGCAACAGCCGCTTAATTTTCTCCTTTGTTGCAAGACAGCCGAAGAAGCCCTCGCCTCGACTGGGTGGCTCCGGCTGGAGAAGACTTACCTGACCAGCCAGGCAGGAAATTGTGCAGGACTCTCGGTAAATTCTTTGCATTCTGCGCGGCTGAGGGGGCTGGTGCTTCGCTTTTGTTTTTCACAGCTGCATTTCTTATGCATTTCATCTGATTCTCCATCTGATTCTCCCTCTCCACCAGGTGGGCTTACCATGAAGGAAGAGAGCTGCACGGTGCTGACACTGTACTATCCTCGCCAGAAGAAGCTGACAACGTGCCACTCACTCCCCAGCCTGCCGACAGTGCTGCACTCCCTCGGCATCGAGCAACTGGCAACGTAAGTACTTTATTTTCCTTCCTCTTATCAAAATTGTATGTGTACTGCCCGACGGCACGGCCGGATTCCAGCAACGGATCCTGGGCTAATGAAAATTGACACATCTCGAGTTGCAAGCCTGGGGATTCAAAATTGCGACACGGGTGGGCGGTCCCCACAGGATCAATCAGCTCGAATGCGGGAACTATCCAACCATCACCTATTCAAAAATGAATGCCGCCGCGTTTCAACTAATTAATCGACAAATGGTGCAGCTTAAGTCCTGAAAACGGGCACAATGCCCCCGACAATTTGCTCGCTATTCACATTCAATTCGGATCCTTTGTAGCACCACTAGACTCTTCGGAGTCCTCTTCCGCCCACTCGGCGCTCCCGGCCTGGGGCTCCGACTTGACTTGTGTGTAAGGAAATTCGGTTTGCTCCTCTGTTGACTAAAGTAATTGGTGATTTAATGATGTTGTTGCATAACCAAATCACCTAACGAAGCCAGCAGTGGCAGCCAAAGGGGCGACCGGATGGGGAGGGCGCCGAGAGGTCGTCCTCGTCGGGTATTCTCTCTCCTCTGAAGTATTTGCCTAACAAACAATCGGAAAATGAACTGAGCACTGAACACTGCACCCAGCCAGCTCCCAGCTCCCAGCTCGGCTCTAATTGAGAATTGTGAATGTGGAAAAATAAATTACGAGACAGCAGAGGGCGAAGGACTGCTATCCACGACCTCGCCCGGAAGGTCTCTCTTTTATTTAGAAAATATTGATTTCTATTACCGACAAGTGCTAAATAAACAACGGGGAGGGATGCCGAAGCCACCTAACCAACGAGCCACCCAGCCATCAGTCAGCCGTCACTACGGGTCCATTCTGGCACTTGACCCTTCGATGGGCGCCGGGTGGTGCTCCAGTGGTCTAGGATAAATCAGCAACGACTCATAAATATTGTATTAAAGCGTGCGCTGAAAATTAGTCGAAATTAAACCAGAGTCGGGGGCAAGGACACGCCCTATTAATCACTTCCTATTGACACAGGCGGGGCTGCAATCTAATCAAGCCGAATCAAAGATAATTTTCTATGGTCCACGCTCGTCCTGGCGTCCCCCAGTCCGTCCAACCACCGCAAATCAAAGCAAACGGCATAAATGGATTACGGTCGGGATGGCAAAAGGTAAGGAGCGGAAAATATGGCCACGTAAATGAGTTACGCCGGAGAGTGGTTGGCGTTAAGATGAAAGACGGCTGCTGAAAGTGTTAGTTGGTATTTGCGGCCTGATTGGTTTTGCACAAGCCCGGTAATGAGGATCGATTAAGTGCTCCAAAAGGGTTAAAGCCAGGCCCCAAATTTAATATATCGTCCCATTCAGTGTCCCGGCCATAATGTCGCATTTCATGTCCAAGCGAAGTGTTGTAGTTCGGCCCGAGCCCGATCCTGAGCCCATCATCGACGGCATTGTCTGCCCACCGTTTTCTGTTGTAAGGACGTGCAGACAGGGAGGAAGAGGGTCCTGTCCTGGGCATGTGCATTGGCTTTTTGTCCGGACAATGTCCACTTCATGGACCGTGGACTCATGGACTTCGAACACACACGACACGGCCTCTCCCCCTGAACTGCGTGCTCCCGAAATCGACATGAATTGATAAAGTCATTTGCAATTGTCTGTCGTTATGGGGCGCTACCCCCGGAACCCAGCCCGTGACGAGGACGGGCCCGGGGTTCAGGCCCTGTTCCGGCTCTTGTTATTTTTGGCGTTGTTCTTTCACGCGCTTGTTGTTGTTTGTTTAATACGAGGCCCCCCCGGCCCGGCCCGGCCACTCCGCCGCTGTTCTTGGCATTGTTGCCAGTCAGTTATTACGGGCACTGCAATTTTGTAGCGCTTAATGTCCGGCTACGGGTCCGGACTCCCTCCACCCGATGCAGATCCGGACAACGGGCTCCTGCAACCGAAAGTGCGAATGCGATATGAGGATTAAAATTCATAATGAAAACCGAACGACAACAAACGAACGAGTGCAGTGAGGGGGCGGTGGTCAGAGGTTAGTGGTCAGGGGTGTCCATGCTACACTGCATGTGGCTCCTATTTGTTCTAGTCGGGATCGCCCGCAGGTACCGCATGTTGTGCGCTTCAGGTTTAATTAAACAATGATGGAAAACGAACACCGTCGAAGCAATAACATTGTTTTCCGACCGAAAAGGGACCATGTACGGTGCATGGTGTTTGGGATTCAATAATAGAGTTTCCCCGACTGCATTCGGAACTAAGTACACCTCTCCAAATTCCCAAATTCGGTGGAGAGTGCTGACTTATTATATTAATGTTTCATTGGCGTATTTCGCAGGTCTGTGTGGAGTAATTACACTCTTAAAATCGCAGCAACCCTATTTGATGTCAAAATTAAATAAAATCTGCCCAACCCGCCTAGTCGGGCTCTGAAACTGATTGTTTTTATCGGCCAGTTCACACAACAGTGGCCATACATCCGAGCCTCGTCCGACTCGGCATGCCACGCTGAATGATAAGCTAATGATGCACACAGGTTGTAGCCAGCAGCGCCGGCCAAATTGAGGCTCAATTGGTCTGCAACTAATGTAATTATAAGCCACTTGCAAATGCCAAACCAGAGTCCTGCCCACCACTCCCCTCCCCCAATCTCTAAGAGCCTGGATGCTTGTTGTGGTCGAAATGCAATTTAATTTGATACGCACTGATTTTCGGCGAGTGTACCAAGGGGCTTCCAAAATTGTTTGCAGTTCAACTGCGGCTCAATTGACCAACACACACAGATACACTCTCCATCAGCCATCAGCCATCAGGGCGGCTGCAGCTGGTCCAGGCGAGGGGTGGCGGCATTATGGGGATGGCCGCCCATCACCAGGCCCATCGTTGTCGTTGTCGTCATCGTCATCATGCAAAACCCATTGAAGTCGTTAGCGTGCGTCGGGGCCCAAGGACATAAAGCACACAATGCAGTGCATGGGAGGTGGGCGGAGGGCCATCAGGACATCGACTCGCAGCAGAACGGAATGCAGCACAGTGAGAAACGCTGCCCGAGATTAAGTTTGCAACTCGGCAATTTGCAATTTGTGCATTGTGGGAATTTGAAGAAGTTGTTGCACGAACCAGCATCATCTCTGCAATAACTCACAGGCATATTATGCGCACTCTATGAGACCTCTTAAAGGGAAAGTTATATGCTCCACAGAACCTTACTTTTCTTGGAAATAATATTCAGACACTTGTCTTTTGAAATAAATACTTCAATTAGGCTCTGAGTACTCCGATTATTAATTTAAACCCTTAGATTCTCCACTTAAGTAAAACCACGTTGGTCAATAACACTATTCATTAAAGATAAACTGATACTGACATAATGGATACGCATATCTGATTTCGTTTGTGCTGTGTAATTTAAGAGCGAGAGTAAAGAAGCTTCAGCGAGTGATAGGTTAGTGATAGGCCCGAATGGAGTGCAGATAAAAAGACAAAAGTATTTATTCGTTACCATTTAAAGAGTGCCGAGTGACTCGCCACAACTACTTCTGCATTGATTAGCTTTCATATTTCACATTTCGAGACTTCATTTTCCATTTCTGGAAATTCTATCAATCACATCTCCCAAATTAATTGGCCAAACCACTTTTGGCATTTCTCCAAGGTGCATGTATTTCAATATTTTTCTGTGGAAGCCAGGAGCTGCATTTTTACAGGATATTTACCATTTTATGATAAAGCTATTTGCTGTTACCTGAGATTTTGAATATTAGCAATGCTCTTTGGGGCATCTGCAATTTAAATTGGGGCAGACATGTACCTAATGGAAGCTGAAATCTAATTCCTATTCGACTTAATTCATTCTTCACAAGCTCTCAGGTAAACCAGAACTGGTTTGATAAGCTTTGGGTTAAAGTTTTAATTTTAAAACGTCCTTTAAACTTGATTGAAAATAAATAAAACTACAAAAGTGGTTTTTCCCGTGCACTCTCCGAATGTCTGAGGTTCATCGATCATGCGCCCAGCCCAGGTCTAAGGACCGAGTCCCGCGGCCACCCACTTCTCACCACATCCACGCACACGGCTGATCCCCCTCCCTGCGAAGAGTCCTTTGGCGAGGGCCGAGAACCGAGGACCTGATTCCTGAATCGGTCTGATGCCCGACCCGATTGCCCCGTTATTGGCTTAATTTACGTTTTACGTTTTCGGGTTTTGTTGCCTGATTTTTGCATGCGGCTCGACGGTGCTATGGTGCGATGGTCAGATGGCCCGATGGCCGGAATAAAGGGGAAAACCAGAAAAAATAATGTGATAGTGGTTTTTACAATTTACGCACTTGCCATGGCCACCGAAATTAATTTTAATTGTACGTGCGTTTGTGTCTGGCTCGCCACTGGCCTGCTTCTGGCCCGGCATTAAAATCAAAGTAATTATTCAAGTTGTGTGCATTTCCACTCCCTGTCCACTGTCCACTGTGCCCTGTCCCCTGTCCCCGGCCTCCTGACTGGGTCCTTTGGCCCCTTTGTTGTTTTATTGGCGCTTTCTGTTTGTTGAGCTACGCAAATTGGCTTCATTTTATAGTGCTTGCCTTTGGGCTCCGCCGCGGCTCCTGTTAATTGTTCGGGGCTGGGCGATACAGATATCCTCTTTGTCTCCCAGCCCTCCCAGAAGGGGCCTCATTAAGGCTCATGATATCCTTTATTACTTTGTGACGGCTCCTTTTCCTTGGCTCTGCATATCGGATTGCCGGGCCGCATACGTCGATTCCCTTTGCCATCGATACCTTTCGCAATTATGCGGCGATATGGAATCTCCTTGTTAACTTTTGCTTTTCCGCTCGGTGGCAGGTTGCCAAGGACACGGGCCCATTCTCGATTCGGCAATCCATTACTCCCGTTTAAGCCCGATTTCGCATTTTTTGACTCTTAATAGATGGCTCGATCAGATATATCCGTTCCGCCTCGCCAGTTTAGTTTTCATTTGTCATCGAGGTCGGACTCTCGCCCGTTATGCCAATTGCAATTGCGTTCGAGTTCAAAATTGAATTCTGCCCCAATGCGAACAGGAGGTCATAAATGCCGCACACACACACACATGACATTGGGGAGGGCATCCTTCAGCTACTGCGCTACTTGGCCACGCCCCCCGTCGCCCGTCGTCATAACGCTACATAAATAAACCCATTGCCAGCGCATTGCAGTTGCTGTAGCAGCTCGGAATGGCAATGGGAATGGAAATGTGAATGGGAATGTTTGTGGATGCGGATTGGCAGTGCAAATGCCACTGGAGGGCCAGGAGCCGGATCGGGCGCAGGAGCAGAAGCAGAAGCTGGAACAGGAGCTCGAACAGTTGGAGATGGTGTATGGCCTGGAGCTGGTTCCGCTCGAAATGCATTTCGGGGCCGGCATTGTGATGTGCCATTGGGTTTTATAATCAACAATGCCAAACCAGTGGCTCCCCCACTCTGGAGCTCCTCCGTGCCTTTGTCCCCTCCTGGTTAGCTGGCTGATACTGCATCCCGAATCCTGTTGCTGCCGGGCCATCATTTTAATTATACTGAGTGCCAATGGAGTCACTGGCGATAAGGCTAAAACGCCGACGATTGATGCCACTCGACGGGGCGGGGCGGTGACTTCGAGTGGACGGATGGGGCGGGGCAGCACACACTCCAGGATGCCGGGATCCAGGATGTTATCCCGTTTTTACATTACCCACATCTGTGCGAGTTCCGACTGCATTTATATTTATTATATGAAGGTGGGAGGTCACGGCGGCTTCGGTTACGGTCATGCCGACCGGATATATTAGCCGGCGATCCCTGCACCCTTGAAATGCGAAAGGGAAGGATGTGCTGCAGCTGCACGGAGAGAAATTTGTTGGAGGAACTCTCTCCAAGCCAGCTTCCAGTCGAAAGGGCTCCCTAACTTGTTTCGAGTGCACTGCAAGCCCGCAAAACAGATGCCCGGAGACGGGCCGGCCATATATTATTTTATATTATCATTATTGCGGGGCGCAGGACATGGACCCGGACATGGACCGCACGGACATGCGGGCAGGACTCGCACAAGTGGCCGTGCCATTAGAGGAGGTGGCCCGGCGAGGGGCGGGGCTTTTGCAATCAATCCGCAGACATTAATATTTTTCGTGTTTGCAACCGCAAATTGTTGCGGCTGTTGCAGCGGCACTCAGCCCCACCCCTGCCCTGCCCTGCCCCCTGCCATGGCTGGCTTGCCACAAGAGCCCACCCCTGCAGCACCCCCGCGTGGCACCTTGACTGGCTGAAGAGGACTATCGCAGACGCAACCCTCGATGCGGATTGAGTGGAATCATAAATTAATTAAAAGAGATTTGTTTGCGGCTTCCAAAGGATTCTGCCGGCCGACAAAAACAACTCGGTGGAGAGCACAAAGAAAATGTGCGTGGCTCCCCCTCTAACCCGTAACTCCCTGTTTCCCTGGGAGCTAGTGTTCTACGAAATTAAAGCAACATTTTTCGTAATGCCCGGCAAAGAACGAAATTAATTAGCCTAATTGTAAGGGCGGACATGTCGGGGTGGGTGGGCACGGAGAGGCCGAAACAGGACGAGCCGAGGCGAAATGAATGAATGGAGGAATGAATGCGATGAGATGAATATATAGAGGGAATTTTTATTGCACAACATCCAGTGCAGTGGCGTGGAGAGGAGGGATGAGCTCTGCCATAGTGCTGCAAAAGTTTAAAATGCCTTTTGAAAGACATTTCTTGTCAGATGATGACGATAAATCAGTTCCCTTTTGAATACCAAACCACCTTCGGTGATCGCCCTGCTAAGCCTGCCAGGGACTCGTGATTAATGGCTAATCCTGAGTGAAACAGAAATCGAATTAAACAGCCAAATTATAGATATTTGTTTAAGGAGAGACCTCGGCGTGGATGCAGGGTTGACACAATTGAATAATCAGTAAACAAACAGAGCCACAGAGCATGAGCCAATCCATTAGTCATCTCCCTCGCCTCTTCCGGCGAGGCCCCTCAGGACGGAGGACTACGCCACTGATTGGGCAGCATTGAGGTTTTACACTTTTGGCCCATTTGTTACGTTTTTCTACCCCTCGGGGTCCCGGCCCGGGCCGAGTCGGTTCGTGTGCGGTTTTTATTTCGCCAAGCCACTGGGTCGGCTTGGCTCTGCAGACCGAAAATGTAACAGCGTATTTGACGCGTCACAAATGAAAATCTAAAAGATTAATTAGCTCAAGTTTTTGTCGAGCGCGCGCCTTCCCGGACGAAAATCCCGGCGCAAATCTGCCAGGACTTACCCGGCGAAAGGAATCCACCGGTCGGGGATCAGAGCCACCCTCTTGGCCTCTGGATTCAGGATTCTGGCTTCTGGATTTCGGGTTTCGAATTCTGGGGGGAAAAGTTGAAAATCTGCTGGCAAAGCGCCTTTTCGTCCTGTTACCGTGTAGGAGTGGGGGTGACTGAGGGTTGGCGTCATTCGGCTTTCGGAAACGTCTCACTCTGGGCCGCACTGCGAGTGTAATAAATTTTAAGTCCTAATCAAAGTTGACAATAATAATAAAGTTAATAATGTTATTTAGCTAACGCCGCCTCTCCTCTCCTTCTTATCTTGCAGCGACTCGAATCCCGTGCTTATATCATCGCCACCCGAATTGGCCGGAATGACTCTGGAGGCACGTCTGATATCCTACGATTGGGAAAATCAATTTGGCGAGTTCCAGGAGGCCACTCGTAAGGGCAGCTTCAAGCCCATCTGCTGGGGGGCCAAGAACCATGTGGTGCCGGTAAGTTAAAGCCCGACTTTTCGATTTATGCCCGAAGATAAGGGCCAAACTTTGTGCCAGAGTGCCAGTCGGATGTTAAGATGGAGTATTTTTTCCAGTGGAGCCGGAGTTGGGGAAACAATCTCCCTGGCAGCTCTGTCACAGTCGAAATCGCATTAACCCTTTTTATCTATCTGGGCATCTCAATCTCGTTTTTCTTACTTGGCTCGTTCGCCCTAATCGCCGGGAACATTTCGCTGCTCCGGCTCCGGCTGCTGCTCCTGCCGTTGTCCTGCTCGTCCTGCTGCTTTACATCCATCAGCTTAATCAGCTAAATTGCTAGACAATATCTGGGATAATTTTTCTTTCTGCCATTTGATGGCCAGCCCACAGTCGGCCACCCACACAGCACAGGACCTGGGCAAGTGCTCATTTATTCATTGGGCGGGGTGGTGCAGCAATGCAGGAGAGTTAAAGCAGAAAAGACATTAGGGCCCTAGCTCCCATCTCATCCCTCAGCAGGGCCACATCCCACATCCTGGTAGCGTCGGTTGGGGCAAAATGCGGGTAATGTCTACCGGAAACCGCACGTTATAAAGTGCAATCAATTGCATTGCGGCCATGGGCAGCGCTCGTTGGCTCGTTCGAGTTTGTTAGGCGCCACTTTACGGCAGTCTGGAGTGGATAGTGGATAGTGGAAAGTGGATGTTGGCTATAGGATGTCGGATGAAGGCTAAAGGGACGCCGGCTGGGTCACATATATGTATATATCGGGCCGACACACGTACGACTTCGACAACGATCATTCTAATGGGTCACACAGTGGGCAGGCCAGCCAGCTGCCTCTAATTCACGTCCAAAATGGCTTAAACCAACTGACTGAATGCTCCCATATGAGCATGATTCTCCCGCCTTCTTCTTGGCCGCCATATATTTCTGGGGCGCCGCATCCTTTAATGCTTTGCACTGTGGAAATGTAGGGAGATTGCTCAAGTTGGGAGTTGTTGCCGTTTTTATGCCACTGACTTGGCTCTCGAGCGAAATTATCAACGCTTGAATTGTCATCGATTTTCCGTGCTGTTGGCTTAAATGTGGCAGCCGTTTCAGCCCAGTTCTGCTAGGCTTTTGCCGTTTTTTCGCAGCTGTCCGTTAGTCAATAATTCATTGAAGCACCCGCCCGAGCATTCCCCGGCCTTTGACCGACAGCCCATGGATTTGTAAAAAACCCTAAAACGCACAAATTAGCACCGGGTGGTGGGCAGGGCCATAGTTCGGCCAGGGTGTTTCGGGCCAAAGGTGAATGGCAGTTAAATGTAGCGAAAAATATACTCGGACAAAAAGGTGACAAGGAAGCGCAAGAAGTTTCTGATTAATTTTCACAAAGCCTCAGGCTCTCCGGGCCGGGCCCCAGGCTCCAGTGAGTCGGAAGACCCGGATTCCGGTGGCAAAAAGTTTCGAGCCGAAGGACCCCGATGGGCAGTGGCGTTGAAGATTAAACCCAATGAATTCCGGATGCCTAACCAACTGGGAAATGACACGGAACACATACTGATTGATACGGCTCCCTGATTAAAGTCAAGTCCCGGACAAGCCCGGTGTTAGTTTCTGGGCCCCGGACAGAGGCACCTTTGTGTTAGCCCTGCTTTGCATAGGTCAGATTAATTAGCCTAAAATAAAATATGTGGCCCACTTTCCATCAAAGCTGCCCGAAAAGCCAAAAAAACCCAAAAAAAAAGGCCTGGTGGACCCACCTAATTAGTATGTCAATCTCTGCACACACTCAGCCTCCAAACTTGCGGGAGCAGGAGGCAGTGGTGGCGCAATTAAAGTCCACAATTTATGCATAACACAAAATTGCACATTTTATACCGCTCAACCTCAATGGCCTTGGCAACAGGCAACCGGCAACTGGCAGCCCAGGCAGCGCCTCTCTTTTCAATTAAAATATCTGTCAGTGGCAACCCGGGGAACACTCTGCTCAAGCCCTCACCTGGATGTGGCGGGCCCCACCTCTCGATGCCTTCTCCGAATTTTATTTTCTCCGACTGCCGTTTTTGTTTTCCGTTTTTGTGCTCGCCCCAAAACGGTTCATGAAGTGCCTTGTCAAAAATTCAACAACAAACAACGAGCTCCGCATTCAGCGACGTCCTAGCCGTCGCCCGATTTGCATAATATTATTAGTAAACAATCGTTATGAAGTCGGGACCGCCCTCCCCTGCTCCACTGGTGTGTCCCCACTGTGGCTCTGCGAATGCAGACATTTGCTAGATTTAGATTTTCGACTGGGCATAAAATATTTGACCGCAGCCCGAGTCCCAGGATCCAACCTATTTATAAACACAAATTTATTCAGCGTAATTAAAACACAAAATTCAGCCAACGAATCCCGTGGGGACTCGCCGGAGTAAACACCGTGCGGCCACGGGCTTGGGTTGGGGTGTGGCTGTGAGAGTGGGTGTCAGTGGGGAGTCTTCTCTCAGTCTGCCTTGTTTTGGACCGATTGGACCAGAAATTTATTTTCAGTTTGGTTGCGATTGCTGTCGCCCAATTATTGTACACCTATCGGTATCGGGTTCCCCCTTTTCAGGATGTTTATTTTGAGATCCAAAGCATCTTCTAATTAAAGGCCTGTTAACGTTTTAATTTCCTGGACTTTAAACTGAAAAGTACTGTGCCCCAGTGTCCTCGTCCTTTGCTTTCGTCCTTTTTTTTGCACTCTCAACGGCATAAATAAGCTTTTCAATTTCCTCGCTCGCCGCCGAAAAGCGGAGTGAAGATGGAGAAATTTAATTAATGTCGTAATTTATTATACACAGATCCCGATCCAGAGCCACAGCCACTAATGTCCTCCATTTCCTCTCTCCTTCACAGGGCTCCGAGTTCCTCGAGGGCTACAGCATAAATGTGACCAAGACCTACAAGAAGCACCGACGGTGCAAGCCGAAGCGGCTCTTCGCCCCGCCCACCGAGCGCACCGTCCCTCCGCAGCCCACCGGGTCCGATCTAAGTGAGCTGCCGGTGCTGCACGAGCTGGACAACAACAACATCATCGAGGGAGCGGCGCGGAGCAGCCGGAGCTCGGCGACCGACGTCCTGGGCCTGAGCCAGGGCACCGGAAGGGCCGGCGAGTTCACCAGCCGGCTCCTCTGGCTGGGGGCCTCCACCTGGTGGCTCCTGCTGATGCTCAGGACGTGAGGGGACTCCGTCTAAGGAGGTTCGTCTGGGGAGATCAGAAGCAGCCGCGGCAGCAGCAGGACGCACAGGCACCACCGTCTCAACACTCAAAACTAAACACACACCCACACTGGGCCATGCCACACACGCGCACACACACACAGTAGATGGAGATCCAGTGGCAAGATGGCCAACTGGAAACTGGAAAACTGGCAACACACCATAATGGCAACTCAACTACAGCTCTCAAACTATAAATGACATCTCTTAATCCTACTACAGATACAAATAGACGCCGAAGGACGTGCGGCAGGAGAAGGACATTAAATATTCATAATAAGCTAGCGTATAAAAGCTTCCCCGTAGTCCCTGGCCCCTCCCCACACCTATGTACACCTGCTGGGCACCCCACCCGTCCCTTTGATTTAAGCTCCTCCCTCCACGGTTTTGTTGATTTTGTTCTAGAGTTTAGTAAATTATTAACGATATTTTTTAGATTAGAAATAAGCGGAAAACGGAAACGGAAGAAACCGAAAAACTTTAATTTAAAAAGCAAAACAATGTCGAGAAAAACCGAAAAGCAATAATTAGTTGTTGTTGTCGTTATAGAATATACAAACGCGAAATTGTAAAAGATACAGATATTATAGATATACACCCCGACTAGCGTATATATGGCTATATGTGTGCAGTCACTCCTTCAACCATAACGATATATAGCGTACCCTATATTTAGATATCTATGTATACAGAGTAGGGTCTGACTCGTGTAAAGCTTGAGCGTCTGGTGGGTTTTGTTGGGCATTGCAAGAAACAATCGTAGAAGGGAATCGGCGTCGAGTGGCACGTTGGAGGAGCATGCTTCAGGCCCTTCCCCCTAACCAGTTAAGTTTAGTGCCGAACCACCAAGTGCAACTGTGTAGGTTCGGGCGCGGGATCGTAGACACATCACCCACACATACTCATAAACACGTACATAACTTATACGTCCATTTAAAAGCGAATACGAGAGAGGCGGAGCAGGTGGTTCAGTTAGGGACATTTCAGAAAGACTTGAAGGACTTTACTTTGTTTCGCAAAAGACTAAGAATAAAATTGATTAAGGAACGCAGCAGAGAAGGCGGCAGATGGCAGATGGCAGAAGAGCCAACTTTCCTTTCATGTTTTGTATAGTTTCCCTCGCACTCAACTGGTATCTTTTAAGGAGGACGAGGCAATCCCTTGTCCGATCAGGCTATCCTCGCTTCTTATTCCTAATTCCTATTTAGTTAGCTATCGCAAGTCTACCTGCTTCTTCGAGAAACGCAAGCAACTACTCTCTACACTCAAAGTGTCGACTCTGTCCTCCCAACTCGCTTCGTTCTACTAACTCTCTAAGTTACACACACCCTAGGCTATACCTATTTTCTAGATCTAAGCTGTAAATACTCTTCGGTAGGCGGAGTGGGGATTGAGGGGAATATGGGATACCGGACACCGGAAACTAATTGCGGAATTGTTAGCCACGACGGATGATAGACGATAGGTGGTAGGTGGTAGATGGTAGAGGAGTTGAAGCATTATACAGGGTGTGTGATTAGGCTCTCGATCAGCTCTAGCAGCTCTAGGCATAGGATTAACGTCTCACTAGAATCTACAAGCACTTGCGGGCCGGACGGTTGAAGGACTCTCAGCAACGTGTGGAGTAGCCGCCAAGATCTGCTCGAAGTAGTAAAATATACCATATACATACGATATGAAAGTAAAGTAAATTTATATATACACATACGATAACTATACTATAAAGTCTATATATATATACAATACCATACGTCTATAAGTAGTTATGTGGTTCGTAGTTGTAAATGTGAATGTGAGTATTTTATACAAAAACAAAAAGAAACAAAATAAAAACAGAGCGAAGCATGAAGCGATAAACACACCATTTTTATACCAAACAAAGTCGAAGGAGTGGCGCCAGCGAGAAGCCCCTTGATGCGATGCAGCGTGATCCCATGCTATATATACAAATCATATATTTTAGGATAACTGCTATAACTACGATTAGTGACGAGCTGGCGTAGGCCAGCTAGGAATGCAAATTCAAAGTTGAAACAATCAAAATAACATTTAAACAAGCAACCAACACAAAAAACACTGTTTTGCGCTAAACTATTAAAAGTTTGCCCCACACAGACACAGACACACCCTCACCCTCACAACTTTCGTCCTGTTAACGGGGAAAAAAGTGAAACTTTGGTGCAGCCAGAGGCGCAGCCTTTTTATGTGGGCCATCCTGTTTTTGAGGTTTTGCCACTTGTCGGCCAACTTTTTAATGGACCCCTTCCCGGCAGGCATTCCGGCTGAGCGGCAGAGCTTCCAGCCGTGCTGGCAGCCCCAACTAGGTCTAATTAGGAGCGATGAGCAACCGACGGCGTCCTCATAGTTTTGGCTTTCGATTCGCCTGCTTTGTCCTTTGTCATGGCAACCTGGCCATTTTTTGCCGGCTCTCTTCTACCTTTTGCCTTTGTTTGGGGCATTAATTAAACTTCTTGCCCGTGACTGTGCAGAGCAAGGACGAGTAGAGAGCAAAAACAGGGCGCTCAATTACAAAGGCAGGCGGAAGGATCTGAAACGCAAAACATTACTTCTTTGGCCCGCCAATTGGAAATTAGTTTCGGCCACTGGCAAACAGACACAAAGCACACAAAACAAGCAACAAACAGGCAACACACAACACTCACACCACACAAAGCAATGTATTCATATTATTTAATTAAAAGCAAACAACAAAAACGGTTTTGGAAAATGTACTTGCGATAGAAACGATAAAAAGTCGGAAAATAGTTTCAAAAACTAAATACATATACAAGCGTAACGAGAAAACAAAATGAATGCTAAACTAAAATAATCTAACTAAATCTAAAACCTAGAAAGCGAACTAAAGCCAACCAAACGAAAATCGCATTGAAATGCATTCACAAACACAGTGTGTGCTGTGAAAGGTCACAGAGGGCGGCCAGAGTGTGGGAGCAGCGGAAAGGTGTCTTGATGGGCTGATGGACTAGTCGAAAAATATTAAACCCATCAACCGGACTCTCAAATCCCGATTCCCATTTAAAATGCAAAGCGCGGCTGCAAAGTCAGTCCGATTGTCTGGACGACTTGTTTTTCTTTGAAGCCTTTCGGCTGCAGGTCCTTTTCCCATTTCGGCCCTTTGTCCTCCCAGGCGGAGGACTCTATTCAGCCAACTAATAAGTTTTTAAAACTGACCCAATTAGCCAGTTTAACTTTTTGTTTCCCCGCTTTGCAGTCGCCGGCAAGACACCTTTTGTTCGTCCACTCAACGGCATCTCGAGGACCCGGCAAGAACTCCTCTGGGATCCACGCCCAGATTGGATGCCGAGTCCCAGATAAAGCACCACCACACTCACACAGACGCGGGGACACAGAGAACACATAGTAGCATGTTAGTAGTATCAAGATATTTGTACAAGTCCTTAGGCCCCCTATTCGAAGCTTTTATTTTGCGGAACGATAGAAGGAATTAAAGAGAGACGTGGGGAAGGAGAAACGAGAAAAGAGAAATGAGGAAACCAAAACAAAACACAACCTACCTAAAGCGATAAAACAGAACCTAACTATTTTTAGTGTGTACCTTGATTTTTTCAAACGTAAAAGGAACCCTGAGAGGCGCAGCGTGAATCCCCCGGAGGACTATATATATTAAAATTATACATACATACATATATGAGATGAAACGTAAAAGCAAAAGCAATAATAAGAAACCGCATAGCTATCAATAGGAGGATCGGGGGAGTAGGCTAAAGAAATATCCTAGTTTTAGGCAAAAGTACGAGTAAGGACGCGAGAACGTAGTTGACGATCGAAGGGCGGAACGTGTAGCATACTTTTTTGGGCAGCCTATTGGCGATGGCAAGGAAACGGAATGCGAAGGGCGATTCGAAACGGAACGGAAGGGGATGCGGGAACGAATATGGGAACACGAACAGGGGAAAAGAGTCGAGAGATGAAAGTCGAGGTGCGGAAATCGAATTGCATATGAGAAAAATTTAAAGAAAAAAAAACCAAAAAAACAAAACTATTTTAAAGTAGAGCAGTTTGCAAAAAGTATTTAAATGTGTCGTTAGAAACCCACAAAATTGTAGTTGCATTGTCGTTAGCCATAGTAGCAAAGTTACATATTGAAGAGGGAAGAAGCATACATACCATACATACATCAATCAAAGAGTTCTAACATAGCCGACATCATAGAAGCATCTTCAGTGTTTGTGTATACTCCTGCATGAAACGGATTACATACAGACCCACATACATAGATACGCAGACATATGCATACAAATATACCTATATAGAGTGTAACGTACAGATATATATAGCGATTAGCTAAACCCCACCCCATCAGGCCCCCATCAGGCCGCCGTCAGGCTAGGGCATCCAGAAAATCACCCAAAGAACAAACTAAACGTAAAACCAACTAGAAGGATAACACCATTCGATCATAAGTAATAGTGACGAGCTCTGTGAGAACGGAGGCAACTGTACTTGGAGGAATTCGAACCGCAGTAAACAGCTCCTAGCCTACTTCGATGGCATCCCGGCCTAATCACACTTTCAGTTCAGCCCAACCTCAAACCGAGCTCTACCCAACCTCAGTCTGTCTAAGGATAAAATGCAAGCGGTTGCCTCCGCACACCCACACACACTACAGAAATACAGAAACACAGCCAAATCAACACCTACAGGTCGCCACACACTATGATAACACTCACACGTCATTTTTGATACAGAACTAAAGGATAACGAGAACAGGAAGCAGCATCATCATTTATTCGTTGTGAACTGCATTGTTTGATTGTGAGCTAAGTTCCGACTACAACAACAACTACTCTCTATGAATGTGTTTAAGTTACTTACTAAAATCATTTTGTAAAATACTAAACCGCAAGCTAAGCAACTTTTACAATAACAAAACAAAACAAGAGAAAAAAACCTAAAAATAAAAATACAAATAAAAATAAATAAAATAAATATATATTAAATATATATATAGAAGTTATCCTGTGTTTTAATCTCTACTCCGAGTAGGGGATCCACGAATCGAGGCTCCATCATCAAAGGAGCCTGGAAGTATTGGCACACATATCCTACGTACGATATGTATGATATGTATGGGTGGATTATAACCACTTAAAATCTTGCGTATTTATTTATGCAAATTTAGTTAAATGCAAATTAATTACATAACTGCCTATAAAAGCTGAAAACGCTGCGAAATGAAAATGTTTACAAACTGCAGCCCCAACAACAAGGACAACAATAGCTCCACCGCACACACGTACGCAGATCCTTTAATATAAATAAGCAATTCCCACGCGGTGAAACGGGCAACAGGCAACGGGCGAGGCGGATGAACCGGGTAAGCGAGGGTAAGCCTCGAAGCAAAAATTATTTTTGCATCATTAATTTACATTTATATTCAATTAAAGCGCAAACACATGGCCAGGGGATGGCCTGCCACGAGGCAGCCGGCTGGGCGGAGTGGCGCCTGTCGCCGCTGGGCGTGGCACTGGGAAAACACACGCCCGGCCAAAATATGAGGACGAAGGCCGAAAGAAAGAAAAACGAGTTTCAAGTCAAAACAACAAACTCTGCCAAAGTAAACTTTAAACTTGGCTTAGCCCCAAAATGCAAAGTATTTAAATGTTGAATTTATGATAAGTGGCCTGTCGAGATAGAGGCGATGGGACTTCCATATCGACGTGGCTATCAGAGCCTGTCGCACTCCATCATTTTTGCCAGCCGCCCGAGGCTGCCAGACAGTCGAGCTTTGAGCCCGTAAACTATTTCTATTAATTAACCATTTAAAATACGCAGTTCTCGCATTTGCCATGGCCACTTAAACTGTGTCAACAAACAAAGAGATTGTCAACTTTTCGACCAGGCCCTGGGAGTGTTTAAACAATTACGGTGGGATCTGGTGCAAAAAACTGTTGATGCATCGGGCATGTAGGTACATACATATATGGATTTGTGGCCGGACTATAAACAGCTCAAAATTCGAGAGCAGATTTATTTATTCATTTATTCTGGCTGTCCATTTAGTCGGACTGCGGTCGGCCTGGCTCCTGCGTGAAATCAGTTTAAGGACTTTTTTCCTCGCCCGCCAGAGTAGTTATTAAAATTGCTCCACAAAGTGATGCGCATTTATAATAATTTGCATATTAAATTATTTTCAATAGCGCGACAATGATTTCCAGCTACACCAGTGTCCGAGCCTCAAAGACGCAAACAAACAACGGCCGAGCGAAATGGTGAAAAAATCGAATTAATGTGTAAAAACATTTCATTTGCAGGCGATTTAAGTGCGGTGGGCTGGGTGTGTCATTATATGTGATATATAATCTGCAATCGTTTGCCAATTCCCCTCCCCCGCTATAACTTTTTTATCGCAAACAATATTCAGTTGCGTGGAAATCAATGGAATTATGTGGACAAAACAACGAAATCCGCCCGGACAGAGTGTTGGCTCAACAAATTAAAGCCCATCGAGCCCGCCATTAAATTAGAGTCAATATAAAAGTCTGTTTCGATTAAGCTGTAGGGGAATAGGAGCTGAACCATTGGAGTCTCTCAGGGCAGCCCGTCCCCCCACAAACTATGGCATCTTATTTGACTGCGGCTCTGGGCTCCCTTGATGAAGTTGGCAGGACAACTTTGCAGCCACAGAAGTAGGTCCTGGGCCCAAAGTGTTTAGGGATATCCGAATTCAACACTCGAAACTCACTCAAACACTCGGAATAATGCGAGCCTAAAAGCGTGCCACATTTGACGGTCTCACCCCTGGAATGTAAGCCGACACTCGACGGGGCGGAAATTATGCAGAAAGAATAGAAATAAAGGTGAAATG